TTTCAACCTTTTTTAAGCCAGTGAAACAAGAAGGAAATCACTCCATCAAACTAATAATGGTATTATTTGATCAGTTAGCTGTTGATCTAATGTGTTTGATCAGGCTCTTATCATAGCAGCATGGTTTGCATGTCTGTGAATTACTGTAGGATGCAGAATGTTTTAAGCCACTTTAAGATCCTGGTTGAGAGGTGTAACAATCAGAGATGGGCGGATGTATCAGCTGCCCAGTATGATTGGAAGATATTTATCTTTTATATGACAGATGTCTTAAGGAGGTTGTTACACAAACCAGTTCCAGTGCGAAACTGGAACTAGTTATAATTAGCACCAGTTCTGTGTTGCCAACATACTGTACTCTGGCTTTGAGTTGGGCCAGAGTAAAGAAGTTCCTCCTCTAGGAGCTGAGGGTGAGCTCATGGAGATCAACCTCCAGCCAAAATATTAGGAACACTATGTCAGGCTTCAGGGAGCCACTGCTGTAAAACCCAGTAAATAGGACATGATGGCGGCAGCAGTGGTTGAGAATCACACTCTCAGGTCGCTTCTCTACAAGGAATATGATATATATGATATAAAATGGAAGAAAGTTAGATGCTGACATTCATGCTAGTACGGCTGGATCTTTTTGGCCAGCCTGTTTAAGCTGGTATCTCCTCATCCCACAGCTTCCAGTGGAAACGAATTAAGGAGGAGCGACATCACCTGCCGTGTTTTAAAACCCTTTTTAGTGTTAAACATCCAGCTGTTCTAGCTCTTTGTTGAACTGCTTGTTGAAGTGTTGCAGGAACCAATCATATGTGATACAATTCGAGACGATTGTTGTTTAGGGGAGAGCGGAATGGTGGCCTAGTGGTTTAGTTCATAGAGCTTAGAATCCTGAGTTTCTGAGTTTGAGCCCCACTCCTACAGACTGCCACTCTGGATCTCTGAGAAAGACCCTTAACCCCACACTGCTCGCCAGGCTCCCCACGATAGCAGCCCACTGCTCCCCAAGGAGACTGGTTAAATAAAGAGGTTAATTTCTCCAATGTAAGATCAATAAAGTTCAATTATTATTATTAAAACTAAGAACCTCGCTCCCAGTGGTTATACAAATAGCCATTTATCTTTCAGTTCATTTTTTAAATAAAAATGTCACAATGCTTCACATTTTATTTTTTGATTTTGGAGTGTTTTTATGTTTTACCGAATCACCAGAATGCCATGTCAGCCCATGATGGTTAAAGATTATCTTAAACAGAAAAAATGAAACATGTCCATGAACTTCATTCAGGAGAAAAGACTTCCAGTTCCTAACCTTTCAGTTACTTTATAACTTCATCCGGAAACATCATGTAACTGATGAACTTCACTCTCTCTCCCTCAGCTCAATCTTTGAAAGGATCTTACTTCATTTCCTGTCTGATTTATGCACCTTTTAGCAGGTGCACGAGTACAACAGATGTTTTGCCTCAATGAACCTACAAGTGTAATTTTTTAGGCATGTCTGGCGGCCCACGTTTCTATCAAATTATTTCCAGAGCACCGTGCAGGTGACAACAGCTTGAAAAATGAAGTAATCCCATGAGTTGCAGCAGCTTTGAAAATGCAGTCTCTTTATTAGATCATTGTTCTCGCTCTCACAACGCCACTTAGAGCCATAGTAATGGGACAGATGTCATTGATGAATGTCCTTCCTTCGGTGGCTTTCTCATATTATTCATTTCTCTAACAAGGTTAGAAGCCGATCACTAAATCAAAGCCTGAGACTCTGACCTTTTAATGGACACTGGGTCTTTCAGAGGTTTCCTGATTAGCATTTTTGAGCAAAAAAATGTATGATCAGAAATATTTTTATATTTATATATATATATATTTTTTTTTATCACCTGCTTTAAATTAAGTTCACATGGTCAGATTTTGCGACTTCTTTGAGTCTTCACCTCATACCACATGGACATTTTAATTTTTTAAGAAGTTATAAAGGAAATGTATATATTTTTTTACTTCCCCTTCTTTGTTTTTCCATTAGTGGAAAAAGTTCAGACTTCAGATGTTTTTCAGAAGTCCTATATTATGCAAAAATTACATTATAAATATTTTGTAACTGTCGTATGTGTCCTAACGCCTGTGTTTGTGGTTTACAAATGTCTGCTCAAAATGTTATGTTTGAAAAGCTTCCCCCTTGTGATATCATAAGGGGAAATACCCTGTCCAGAGTGGTCTGTACAGCCCATTGGTCAGGCTACAGCCGCTCCTAGCCGCCATCTTTACGAACTTTGACTGGTTGGCCTTCATAGGTCAGGGTGCCACAGGCTGTCTGCCTAATCTGAGAGGAATTTTCCTGTACAAAGGACAAAAACAGGCTCTGGGGGCTTCATTGTTAATAATTTTAATTTTTAATTGTAGAAAATTATGGGACCTTTAAACATTAGAGAATAAACGGCACTTATGGTGTTTCTTTGTAACAATTTAAGCGTTTCTTTTCCTAAAATTTAACATTCATGCTCTTCTTTTTTGCAATAAGATATTAATTTATATCTTGATAACCGAATGAAAACTGAGACCTTTTTGTCTTAAATATCACAAATTCTGAAACAGCTCTAAAGAGGATGATGATATTTAGAGAGCCTATTATGGGGTTTGTTTTCTATATTTCTATATTGTTTTGTGAAAAAAAGTACGCTTATTAAAGCCACAAATTTCTATTCAATCCTCTTACATAAAAGTACTGCAAGGTCTAGGGTTTGTTTACTCTTGGATTCCAGAAAGTCATTTTGTAATATCCCATCTTTGGAGTTGCTGCAGGATAATAGTGGTTAGCTAAAGAAAAAAAATCCAGATCTTACTAGAAACTATAAAACAATCCCTTTTTTTTTGGTCTCCATGTGTTACCGTGTTTATATGCTGGACTGTAATGAGCTTTTTATTGCTCCAATGCGATGCATCAGCAAGCAAAGCGCCAAGCATGGCCTTACTTATCACACCCACTTTGCAGTCTGTTTACAAATGACGCCTGAGGCCACCACCCCTTGCATTTAGCACACCCTGCAACTGAACATGAGTGCATTAACATTATCCTGAGGGGGTGTTTTTCTATGTAGCTGTCACAGCCCTTGAAGATCAATGGTCTAATGGCTGCTGCCTGCTTTCCCTTTAAATTTAGTTTGTGATTAGTCAGTAAAACATGATTAATTGGTTTATTTGTTGCTAGAAAGCTTGAAATTTGGGGGGGTGGTGAGGGCATGATGTTTTGGTATTCCCATGGTACCGTCTCGTTGCTGCGGTGATGTAATGATGCCCCTGTCCCCTTTATCCCCCTGAGGCATTTGTTGGAGACGATAATGGCTAGGCTGCTCAACAAACCACCTGAGCTTTTTTTTCTTCTTCTGTTGTTTTGAAACATTACATCATGGCTCATGGCAGGAGAGGTGATGTCATCCAGGGTCTCCAGGCTTCTTTCACCCCTTTCCGCCTCCCACTTGCCTCCCCCGCTGCTTTTACTGGAGCTGCTCCAAAACCAGTAAACTGCTTTTCAGGCACAGGCTGAGGCTGAGCATCAGTCTCTGTTCAAAGGACCAGCCACTGTCTGCAAACATGAGTCAGATGGACTATTGTTTAGTAGATTTCCGGTTCTCTTAAATGTGGATTTGTTTTTTTGTTTTTTGCTGTTTAAGATTAGTCTTTTTGATATCCCTGTTTACCAGTTAATTTTTGTGATCTCCCTGTTGACTTAAGATCATACCAGTGGTGTTTATGTGCTGGTGGGAAATAAGTATGTCCATCACGCTTTGACATCTCATGTAAACCATTTTTTTGCTTTTCTTTCTGCTCTCGTGAGCAGATAGGCTCTACAGTATGACAGCCAATCATTCTATGACAACTGAGAGCCTGGTTTGTGGTTTGTTTTGTCATGAGAACCGCAGCTCTTTCATCATTTATTCATTGTCATGTTTGACACTTGGAATATCATTTTTTTTTTAAATATGTCTTTTATATTCTATCTGTTGCTTGTGCAGCTTATTATCAGCACAGGTACAAATCCATGTGACTCAGGTGTGTTGTTGTCAGTGGACCCCCTATATCTTACCGTCTAATTAAAGGTCTTATTTTTACTAAATTTTCCAGTTTGACTTTAATGGAAAAATATGATTTTTTTTTTTTCTCCAAGACTTCTTACGCATCCTTCTCCAGCAGTAGCAAAAAATTAGGATGTAGATCTCCGACTGTGTGTCACAAAGCAGAGAAAAGTCAGCATCTCATCATCAATCATTTGGACCTTTCCTGGTGACGCTGCAGCTTATCGTAGTAAAGCTGGGTGAAGGTGGAGTGGCTCGGTCTGTTGCCACTTTCTCTGTCTCTTTTATGCCCCCCCACCCCCTCCCTCCATTTCAGCATGTCTCGCTGCCTCCGTCGCCACAGCAACTAAAGGCCCTGGAGGGTGTGTGCGCGTTCGCTTGGCTCAGTGGGTGCGGGGGCTTGTGCTCGCGCTCGCCTAGTTGCCATGGCTATCTCCACTGAGTGGCAGCTACGGTGTGACAGCGCTGCTGCCAGTCTCTGCAGCTGAACCTTCATCTCCTCTTTTTACTCCTGTTTCAGCTCCTTCTCCTTTAGTTTTTTTTTGCTCCATCAAGCTCTCCGTGCAATCTATCAACCTTTTCACTCCTTCTCTGAGGAGGAAGTGCTACAACTTCCCCGCCCAGGAAATGGCTTTCCTGCAGTCCGTTACTATGCCAACCAAATCCAGCTGCCGTCTTGTGCTAAAAGGAGTGCAATGATTGCATTGTTCAGTTCCTGCCCCCCCCCAATGCCTTTATACTTCCATCAGTCCAACATCCATCTGTCTACCTTATAATTTCCCCCACCTTTAGATTATTTTGCCCTCCTTTCATCTCTCCCTCTATCATCCAGCCTTCTTTCCATCTCTGTTTATGCCAGAGGAGTGCGTCCACAGCCGCTCTAACACCATTGCTGTCAGACTGGGAGGAGGTCCTTACCCCCTCCTCCCCCACCCCTGACACACATCTATGCATGAGGCTCTAAACAAACTGCTGGCTTTATCGCGCTGGGTACCTCTGTGGAGGCTGCAGGCGTTTCAAGCTTGACATAATCTAATGGTGCACAAAAAGGCATTTTTGCATGCATGCGTGTTGCTTGACTTTCCGTACGAGGCAGAGGGAAGGAGGGAGAGAGAGAGAGGGAGGCGAGGCGGAGAGAGCAAGCGTGAGTGAAAGTGTTGTCAGCCATTTTTCTCATCTTTTATCCGTTTTTCTTCTTTCTGCTGCTCCCCGACTGGAGATGTGACTGTCAAAAAAGAAGCTGGCTGTTTGTTTTCTCCTGGATAAAAAAAGGATCTCTCTTTTTTTTTTTATTCGTTTGTTTTTTCCACCCCGCTACCCAGCTTCCCATTTTCATGATCCAGCTGGACTAAGCGCATGAGGTGTCATTGCTTTGGAGAGTCTGATCAGGCCAAGAAGAGCGGATACTCCTAAAACTGTCAAACGAAGACGGTGCAGCTAAGAGAGGGAAGGGGAGAGGAGGGGCGGGGGGTGTTGAAGATGAGTGTAAAGCAGGTCCGGGATGTTAGATGTTAGCCCGGTGAACATTTTTTCATTATGAAACCATTAGCAGCATCAGACAGCAATGGAGTCCCGAACCAGCAAGATAAAACCCCGGTAAGTCGCATATCGACGTGCATCCTCTTTTATTTATTTTTTTCCCTCTCCTCAACGTTTATGACCCTGTAGATATGATTACCGGCCCTGTAATGGACGTGCATCAGATTTCTATCGAGCCTGTGTGAGATGAATGACGGCAGGGCAGACCAAGGACGCAATCAGAGGCTGGCCGCTGCCCCTGCCGAGCATCAGATGTGTGTCAGTGTGTTGTACTAGAAACGGCCGCCATGTGCTCGCCGTCACTGACGTGTGCAAACGCATGCACAGATGCTCCAGTTCCACACAATAATTTAAAGCTTTGTCAAAATAATGAATATTTTTTTCATCATGTCATTATTATATTTGACATCAGTGTTCATTTTGTGCTTTAAATAGCCCTAATCTGGTTAGACAGATGCATCCTCTGAGTGTTGAGTTTCCAATGTCTCTGCCCTCATTTTCTTTTACGGCTAACCAAGATGACATTACTTAGATGTAGGTCTTTAACACAAAAATGCTTTTGCAGGGATGTAAAATTACAGTTCATGGATAGAGTCTCCATTATGAAAAAGAGGATTATTTGATAGATCATCATATTTAAAAAAATTTTGGTATTTTATTTAATTTTTTTGTACCCACTGAAATGTTTTGATCCACCAGTGTGTTGCTGCTGGTGCTGTCCATGGTGCTGGAAGCAGCCTGCAGCTCCAGCAGACACACGGAGGCCTGACATGATCTGCACTTGAACAGTAAACGGATTGATCGGCTGTCAGCGCCACCGGCATCACTCACACATTGAGACCACACACAGACACAGACTCAAACACATGCAAACAGCAGGCTGTCCATCTTCTTGATGGACGGTGCCTGGGTTACAGAGCACATGTGCTGTGCAGAAAGAAAATCACCTTAATATTCCTGTAATTGTCGTAAAAGTGTCATGGCTGAGGAGTTATCTCATCCTCTTTCCTCACAGTTTGCGCTGTTTCCCTCAGGGACGACTGCAGAGAACTGAAGTCTCTGACATTCATCACATGATTCAATGCTTCTTATGAAATTGTAAGAACAATGGTAGCTAATGCTTACAAATCTTTGAAAAATAAAGTTTGTGTATTATAGAATGCACAGAGACTTGCTTTTCTTTTTAGTAAATTGTTTTAGACACTGTAAAATGCAAGACCAAATTTAAAACCAAAATTGTTGAAATCCTTTTAAACCCCCACCAACAGATACAGATAACACTACTAAGAGATTATTTGTCTTTTTAAAATGTCCATACAATATTCATATATTTATACTCATGCCTTTGCCCAATAGGCTGATTCTGTTTACCATCATGCATCTTTATTGACTGTTTCTTTCATATGTTTTTTGCATATAAATGAAGGTTTGTGTAAACAACAAATTATCTCAGCGGGGTACCCCCGATGGGCTAACGGATCCTATTACAGTAATGGCATCATAATATTATTCCCATCAGCTTTGGCTGCCATGACAGCAATTCCATGCCCGCTTATCCCAGCCCTAACTGTGTCGATATCTGTGCTTAGTGACACTTTTGTTTTCCTGTGATGGTGGGGAAACCATCATGGTCCAGGAGATACTTGTTTCATGTCTTTCCTCTTCTGATTTTCCTTTAAACATCTTTGGTTTCTGGTGCAGTAGTTTTTTTTGCAACTGAGCCCATGGGGCAAAAACAGATCACTATATTGATTTTATAAATATCAAGTTATTCATTCTGCTTAAATTGAGTAAGTAGAAAAAAATTCTAATAATGCACACCTTTTTCATAAAGCTTTAAAAAAGTCCTGATTCTAACTGTAGTCTGTTCAGAAGTCCCCTTTTTCTTTATAAATCAAATGTAAAGTTAGATCACCTTTTTTTGGATTGAAATTAATTATTATTTTTTTTTTTTACACAAAATATATCACATCTTTGTCCAACCTAAACTATAGGACAACAGAGCTCTGATTCATTAGATATTCAAATAATTAATTTATTGAGACTATGCAGCTCCCCTTAGGAAACCTTAGTTTGATTGTTTCACCTATTTCAAAACAAACACAGATCGATTACAGATTAGATATTCAAACCTTTCCTCGGCATTTATGTTACTGATTAGATTTGTACATGGAGTATTGTTTACAGTGGACCTTTATAGTTGGTATAAGTTTACTTTAACTGCAAGATTTCCCATTAATTTAGTTTTTTTTCCTAAGTTGGTATAATTCCTAACAAAAACAATCAGACTCTATGGAAGAATGAAAGTGTTGAGATAACTTCAGTAAGCCGTTATCTGCTGATCGCCAACCATCCCTTGTTTTAGCCTGAAAGTCCTTTAGCAATTTGAGTCTCCTTCCTTTTGTAACATCTTCTACACCGAAGACTGTTGTCATTGTTTGGAACATTGAACGATTGGTAAAGATGAACTATTTTGTTTCTGTTTCATCCATTCAGTTTTTCCTTTCTGATGTCCAAATATTTTTTTTAAATCGATCTACGATATTTACTGATTTGTGGCACATGCACTAAAGCTCCTAAATTCAAAGCCAAAGAATTTGAGAGACATTTTACAACTTGTTGCATTTTTTATTTTCTTTTCGTTAAAGGTAATTTCCTTTCGTCAAACTGTGCGACTTGACTCGTGCAGGCCTGACTAATGGAGATGTAGCTGGTGATAGGAAAGCCCAGAGAGCATATCAGACCTATTTAATCAGAAACCCTGCCAAAGGGATTTTAATCTCCTGATCTGTAAGGCTCAAGAAAGTGAGAAGCTGCCGCTTTAGTTAGGGAATGTGTATGCTCTTAGTTAACCTCTGAACAGGGGCCAGAAAGGCATTTCTTAGCTAGTCTACAATTTAAATAACATAGAATAGTAGATTTAAGCAATTCAAACAACAGTGATTGACCTTGATTCAACCCAGCTACATAAATAAAATCATTATTTTTTTTTTCTTAGACATCTAAATCTCAATTAGAGAATTTTTTTTCCTCCTCTTAGTTAGAGGGATTCACCTCAGGAATGGTGATGGAGTCTAGCAGGACAGATTCACTGGCTGCATACAGTGAAGAGATTGAGAGGAAGCCAGTGCTTCCACCCAGCAATCTAGGTCATTAGGTCTGTAATGTAATTTAAGGAGCAGCACATCTGCTCATATGTAAGCAGAACTGAGAGTTGTGGCTTGGGCCTTAGAGCAATGCATAATCCCCCCGTGACTGCTGATTGGACGTATTTTCAGCCCCCAGTTCTGCAGAGCTCATTTGTTTTTTAAGAGGGTGTTGAATTTGGAGCAGAAGAGTCCAGAGAAACAGATCAGATGCCAGAGAGGCTTTAGAAATTCATGATGTAGTTCATGTTTATTGTATCTTTATTGTGTCCTAACTTGAGAATTAAAGTATGGATTTTTAAATTAGTTGAAGCTCACAACACAGAGTAGATGTTTGGCCTTATCATTCTACACTCATTGGACAAGCTTAATTACCCTGTCCTTGTTTCACTGGCATGCAGTTTGACCCAATCTCTTGCATTCCATTGGGCCACAGAGGTCAACATTCTCATGGAGTGAATGGACATCGGCTTATTGACCAACAGACGGATGACCTAAATGAGCGGAGAGAAAGGATTACTTGTTTATTATCCGTATGCTTTCTCCGTCTCCCCTGCCCTCACTTTGTTCCTCACTCGCCTATCTAACTGGTGTCAAAATAGGGTAAAGTTAAAGGTTGCTGCAAAGTCTATCTAGCAGTGTTTTTAGTGGCATAAACAAGGAGAAAAACAACAAAAAGATCATCTTTAATTACACCTATGTTAATGGAAGTAAACTGATTTGCCCATTATGTTAAGTCATGCTGGAAGCAGCAAAAACTTAAGCTGAAGCAGCATATTTTTGATAATCTATGTAATTAGGAACAGTAAAGCTGGGCTAGATCTATGTAGATCTAGATCTCTGAGGGACTCTATAGGAAGTGCTAATATAATCTCATTGAAGATCCGATTATATGCCTGTTAAGAGAATTATATGTTAAAAAAACTAAAACCCTCACATGCCTTTTAAAAGCTTTAAAATATATGTATATATACAATCTAATATTTTAATATCGTCAAAACAATGTGTTTTTATTTAGGCAAGGCAAGGCAAATTTATTTCTATAGCACAATTCAGTACAAAGACAATGCAAAGTGCTTTACATGATTAAAATATAGGAAAATAAAACAGAATCAAAGCAAGTAGGGAAAAAAGTATGGTTTGTTAAAAGTATGATCAATATAGAATGGAGCATCTTTGACCTACGACCACCCTTAAAATGAATTTGTAATACAAATATATCAGTTTCCAGTGTAAAAACCAAAATCTCTGTTGAGTTGATGTTTGTGCATCAACACCTAATTCTAGATTGAAGCGCTCTGAGGAACTGCAGCGTGTAACATACACTATCACTAAGTAATGGTGAAACTACAAAAAGTTCACCACTCATATTGTCTAGCCAGTGAAAATAACGTGGAATTCAGCTGGAGGCATTCGCATCGCCGTGCACCAGGCACGGTGATGGGAGAGGAAGCCCGCCGGGTATTAGGGTCTGATTGGGTCCTCCGGTCCACCATTTTGGTTAGTGCAGCCAGCCAGATAATTAAACGTGATGGAAATCTTTGACACACTGTAATCACATCACACCTCAGTGCTGCAAGAGCTCCTCTGTCTGGCTCCCAGTCTCTTGTCGCTGACACAGAAAGGCACTTTGTGAATTGATACATCTAATTTTTTTCCCACTTTTCCCCTCAAGACAGTTCAGGAATAAATTGCCTTCTGATTCATTTGGGTAAAGCAACTCTTTCATAGTCTTTAGCTATTCTGTGACTCTTTGTTGGCAGACTTCAGCTCCCCTTTAGCAAAACTAGTCTTCTGTTTTGCCTCCATGCCCAAACCCTATAACGAAGCCATAATTAAAGTATGCAATCAGAAACTGAACAGTGTTTCTTTCATTTGAGTCTCAGCCGTGGTCCTTTTTAAACAGCTTGTATGAAATATTGGCTTGTTTTCATATCTAGGGAAACAGAATTCAAAGCCTCTCAACTCAAACAGCTTAGAAAAAAAACACTAAACCACATGTTTTCCAGATGTTTAGTTTTGGCTCAAACTTTCCTGCTTCCTGACAACCAAAGTTAGCTCATTAAATCGGACCAATTTGAGTTTTTTGGATATGAATATCTAATATTAATGATGTTCCACAGCCAAAAGTGAAGCTAAAAGGGACTCGAAGGAGATGTTTCCCTCTTCCAAGTATCAAATAGATATATATGGTGAATAAAACATATGGAGTATAAAATATTCACATGCACAGACACCATGAACCAGTTTCTCCTGCTGGATTAAAGTATTTACCCATTCCTTCCACTTTCTAATCAGATGTGATTAATTCACTGCACATATGTTGTAAATAAAAACAAAGAGGTGTTAACGCCTCTAGCTGATGAAAGTTTATATTTCAAGGACAGAATAGAAACCAGTTTACCTGTATGTCCCTTACACAATGTTAGGGTGAATCAGTGGCATAAAAAAAAATCATCAGTATGTGAATAATTGATATATTTATCAAATTGAATTGAAGATATGTAGTTATATTTGGAGCTGGAGGATATTTATGTGCATCAGATCCTTAAATAAATCACTAAACTATCTGGATGTTGGCTTATAAACACATCAACATAGCCGAGCAGATTCCAAATTAAGCAGATGTACATGTTTGATCTGTTCCTCTGTTTCTGTAGCGTTTCCTGTTGGGGTATTCTGTCATAGTTAAAATTTCAGCCTTATCCCCATAGAGAACTTGGTTGGCCCATTTATAGTATTTTTAATTAGAGCTACTACTTCGTACAGCATCGTTTCCTCAGAGCCCCCACCTCACCAATTACTGCCTCCAGTTTGTTTATTTTAGTCCTTATGAGGCATTTATTCAGGATTTTCCTTTTTACACATGAACGTTTGTTTTCTCCCTGCACTTGAGACATCGTTTTATGACTAAACAAAATACTGATTACTTTCAGTTTGCATTTTGACACTATGATGGGTATTTTGTTCAGAGTCTTGAGCCCCTGGAGAGTTTATTTTGTCAGATTTGCTCCCACTTTAGCTCTAGATAATAGCAGGTTTAGTGAGCTTTTACATTGACATCTTTATGCATATCAAAACAGATCATCTTCTTCTTTTAAGCTGTTAAACTAAGAAGAAGACGAGATTTAGTTTCTTTTTGGTGCTTCTTCTGTTATGATAGCATATTTAATGTAAATCAGAGCTTTTTAAAATAAATTTTGCTCTGCATTAACACAGTGTGTTTCTTTTATTTTTGATAAATAAAGGCTAGATTAACTAGGTTTTATTTATGGTCTTTATAAAAAAAAAAAAACCCAAAAGTGTTCAATTGAATTGTCAAAATTTGAATATGTACTTCTACTGTGCCAAAAATACCAGACCCATGATTAGCAAAAAGCAACCGGCCGGTCAGAAGCAACTTCCCTTGTAAAAATTCAGCTTTTCCCTCAAATTTAGACAAAATATTTTCCTTATTTTTATTATATTTTTCTTTACTGTTCCTTCACATCCAAAGACAAAACCATGCTAAGTGTGTCCAAATGTGTGGCAGTCAGCGAGCATGTTAGAGTGGGTGACCAGAGGCGGCTGCTGGGCTGACTGATACTGACCATCTGTGTGTATGTTGTGTATGTATGTGTGTGTGTGCAGCTCCCTGCAGACTTCAGCAGACTGCACCTGGCCGACGGCTTACACCCACAGGTGACCCACGTCTCCTCCAGCCACTCAGGATGTAGTATCACCAGTGACTCTGGAAGCAGCAGCCTGTCAGACATTTATCAGGTAAGGCCTCCACTCGCCGGCTCTGGATCCCCAGCCAGGCCTGGATAGTAAAGCTGGTCCACTGGTTTGCCGTTGGGTTGGGATAATGCTTTACAATATTTATTATTTATTCCTGATTGTGAGTGATCCGGATTAGATAAAAGAAACCTTTAATATGATCATAAAAGGAAGAAGGATCAGTCGGGTTTCCAGCAAATTGGAAAACCTCCTTCCTGTGGGGAGCCGCTCCAGTGTGGATTCCAAATAACCTATTTAAGCAGGGCATTTTTCCACCATAATTTAAAGGTTTTGCTCCTGGAAAAGCTACAGAACACAGTCAGTAGACCGTCGCTGCTCTGCAGGGGAGGAGCAGCAAGCCTGGATGCTGCCGAGCAGGTGGTCCAGGCCACATCCTGCCTCCATCTCTGCCTTTTCATCACTTGAAGGCAAAAGCAAAGGAGTCCTGGAGAGATGGCACCTTTTATGATATAACTTTATGCTAATCTGTGACTAAAATGTCTCTCTAACCTAAAAAAATTAAAAATAAAAAAATCCCCTTTTGATGTTTGGGAGTCACATGAATCCAGATAAATTAAAGTAAAATAGGAATATAATTCAGCTTAGAGAAACACACATTCACCAAATGTCATGACTATAGATTTACCCCAAAACCTGTAACTAATCCTCTTAAAGCCACACAGCCACCCCATTGGACCATAAAGCCGCTGCCTGCTGTGTTCCTGTTCCTGTTTGTTTGTCAGTGTTCTTGGGACTGTGCTCAGTCCCAGTCTCTTGGTTTGGCCCAGACCTCTTGCTGGTTTGGATCTGCCTGTTTTGGTTCTAGTTATAAGAATACAGCTGTATGACTGTGTGTGTCTGTACAGTATCACATGGTGCCGTGTGTGTGTGTGTGTGTGTGTGTGTGTATATCAGGTCTTGTTGTGGATGTCTGCAGTAGGTTAAACAGGCTTTACTGTCAGGTCTGATCCGGGTCTCAGTGCCATCTGCTCACAGCTCTGTGATGGCTTCTGGATTTTGTCTCTCACAGTCACAAACGCTGTTCTGTTGTTGGTTTCCTTCTTCCTCCATGAAAGATTTGTGCTGAAAACGTTTTGTCAGTCTGTCTAACACCGTTCTTCAGTTTCCTTAATTTTTATTCTTTCAATATGTTTTGTTCAAGCACTAATAGGATCATTGGTCATTAACTCTGTTCAATGGGATGATCTAGGAGCCCCACTGATTAGTTCCCCTTATATTAGTTGCTTTATTGTCAGAAATTACTTAGTGGGAGACTACACCTACTGTCATCTAGTTAGATGTTTTAAACATATTCTGATTTATACAACTTAAATTAAACGTTAGGATCCTAAAAAATATCACACATCTTTTTTACAAGATTTTTTACTAAATTCAAAATATTTAGAAAAAAAGTAAATGCTATAAACTTTGAGGTGCCATTTTTATTTCTTCCCCACAAGAAATTAAAATAGTAAAATGGAATATGGTAGAAACATGTTTGATGTTTTGGGCTTTATTTATCTTTTATTGTTTTTAAACCTTTTATATTACAAACACTAGTATATTAGTTTCAAACAGACTGGATCATAGAGGAATCTGCATTGAGGAGGGGCAGAGAAGGGGAATGAGCGCTGTGCTCAGGTGGTCCCTCTCTGCTTGTTCCAGTCTTGGGAGAGACTTTTTTCTGCCTTGATGCTGTTTAGATAAAAAAAATGTGTAGAATTCTTATTTATTTAAATTAGTTTGCTTTGTGATTACCTAAAACATAAAGTTTCTTCATAACTCTGAATACTTCTCTTCACATCATTACATATTTAAGTCAGTAATGCTTATTATAACATGATTTAGATTTCTTCAACCATCAGGTGTATAATGTAATTTTGGTGATTTTCTCAAATTATAAACCCATTAGTTGTCTTCGTAGAGATTTTAGAAATCCTTTTATTTATTCATGTTTTCTCATTTTGCTGATGCTGTGGTAACAATGACAGTTGCTGAGCAGACTGCTACATATTATCGACAGGAGCTCTAACAAGGCCTCTGTGCTGCTGTAAAATCCAGACTCCTCAGTTGGATGGAGGAGGAACATCATCAGTGCGTCACTGCCAGCATGGCGGACTGTTTGGGTGTTAATAAATCATGATATTGGTCCTTTGAAAGCATTGATCCAAGAATAGCCTACATGAAATATTCACAACATCTGACTTGCCCACTAACTCCTAAGGCTCACTCCAGGTTTATAGGTTTTTGATAAACGCTTGATGTGCCTCTGAAAACAAATCAAAAAGGATTCCCCAATTCTATTATGGTCTTTATAAATATGGCAAATGCGTTTTAATGGCTGTTTTTTCAAACTAGCAAACCTTATGAGGCGTTACAGCTATTTAGGCTGTTTTATGATCCCACGTCCCTCATCACCTGATTACAACCCTGATTTAGATCCACCCACCAGTCAGATGCTGAATTATTAATGAGTCTTTTCCACATGGCATTTGAGGAGATATGACACAGGGCATCTGAGTGAGGCTCAGAACATAAAAAAATGAAAAGTAGAGCGGCGGTCTGGGAGGCGAGGATGCGTCTGGCTCTGAGGTTTTGCGGACAGTTTGCTCCAGAAACCTGTTCTCTTTTTTCTATTAAAAATCTAAAAGCTGGACAACATTTTGTGGTGAGAATATATTCCTCTTTTGGATGCATGAAAAAACTATTTATTTTTTTATTGTTTTTGTGCTGTTCTGCCAGAACGTTTCCTGTTGTGTGCGTGGTCCTGTTGATTGGAGGAGAAGAACTTTGATTGCAGCTCAAGTAGCTGTATTACATTATCCTCTCATCTCAGTTGGCTGAGCTCCTGTTTTATCTAACGCTTTCAAAGAACCGCAGGCTGTGGAGTTCTGCCGAGAGGCGAGGGAAGAAGAAAGTTGGGATTTAATGAGCTTGCAGCCTGTTTGATATCCATGTTTTCATTCTGTATTTAATGCTTTATGTCACAAGATGGATTGAATCTGTATAATTTGAGTTTGTTTGGTGTTAAAAAGGGGCTGGTTGCCTATGATAGTAGAGGGCGTTGGTTTCAGCATGTATGCAGTGAAGCTTTCAGTCATGAATCGTGTTTCTAAGGCAAGCAACAAAGTGAAGGAGGTGCAGGAGTCCTCTGGTTACCTCAGCACTTTGGAGGAAAGTTTTCTTTGAGCTGTGGATGCTGGATGGGGTTGTTGCGTCCCTCAGCGCAGACCTCCTCCCACAGACACTCATCCCTGATGTGTTTGCTCCCATCAGGCCACAGAAAACGAGCCAGGAGACATGGACCTCAGCGGCCTGCCGGAGACTGCGGTGGACTCTGAGGAGGACGATGATGAGGAGGACATCGAGCGAGCCTCCGACCCACTCATGAGCCGGGACATCGTCCGGGACTGCCTGGAGAAGGATCCCATGGACAGAACGGACGATGACATTGGTGAGCAGCCAGGGATGGGCTTTAAAAAATGTGTTATATCCTCAAAAACGTTAGACTCATTGTTTCCTGTTTCAGGATTATGCTCTGTTTCTCATTTGTAATAAAAACCTCTGATTCGTCTGTTATTCAAATGAGCCACAGTAAATATCCACAGCGCTGATGTCTGTGATGTTGGCTTTCGAGTAATTCTCAAAGCCACATCAGGCTTTTCATATCATATCCCTTAAAGCTATGACTCAACTCCAGCTCTGATGATAGGCGTGTTAAAAAAAAAAAAATAAGGACACAGAGCTGAGGCTTAGCAGCTGATGTGGACTTTGGGTGAGGATGATGCATTGGATGCAGAGAGAGAATGAGCGAGTGCCAGCCCTTCCCCCTCCAGTCGCTGATCTCCCTTCAGGACCCCCCCTCCCCCTGCCCGGAGGCTTTTCTAGGTCACTCCCGCACATCCTCTCGCCTCACCTCTCCCAGCACATTAAACTTTTAGAGATCTCGCAGCTTCACACACGATGCTGTTGCCATGCCAAACCCAGGTCATCCGGTGCACTAGACTGTAGCTGCTCAGGACAAAGGCTGAATGTTTTCTGGAGGCTCTCCCTTCATTGACTATCACTTCACTGGATTATGCTTTGAAAAACCCAGACTTGCTATCATAACGCCAGTAATTAGAGCACAGATTTATACCCAGATTGCTGCGCTTAGATTTTATTCACAAGTATTGAAAACAATCCTAATGCTCTGCACCTGTTTGCATGGTTGGATGGCTGGGTCAAACGTTAAGACATAACTTTGGTTCAGTTCTTCTGGTCTGGTTTGATTTTAATCCACTTTGACAGAATGATGAGTAAGGCCTCAGTTTGTCCAACAGCCCCTTTAACTCTCAGAGGTCACAGTGTGTTTCATCAGCCATTATTCCTGGCTTTTTTCACAGGTTGATATCAATAGAATTGATATTTTCCTCTGAGCTTTGCCCAGAACGGTTCCTCTGTTGGAGTGCCCCCCTCTTACAGTGTTAGATGGGTTTCACTGAATGCCCGCATCGTCTCTCTTTGTACCTCTTTCCAGAGCAATTACTGGAGTTCATGCATCAACTGCCAGCTTTTGCCAACATGACCATGTCGGTGAGGAGGGAACTCTGCGCTGTCATGGTGTTCGCCGTGGTGGAGAGAGCTGGCACCATCGTTCTCAATGATGGAGAGGAGGTCAGTGTTTATGTTTTTGTAATGCCTTTATATATAGGTATGTGCCTGTTTCTCTGGGACGTCTCACCTCTGCACACCAGCAAACCTTTGTTCTTTAACTGAATGTGTTTTTTCTGCTCTATTAACCCTGAATGCCTAAAGTAGCTTATCTCTGGGTCATTCTAGGAGCCCAAAGGCACCCAGAGCTAGACTCTCAGGACACAGTCAGTTTAAAGAAGACATTTTACTTATTTTCCCTTGAACAAAAGAAAGATGAATGTGTCTCAGAGGCTGTGACTCGGCGGTAAATGGATGCTTTCATGCACTCCAGCTTCATTAAGCATTTTATCCCTCTATGTCACCCTGCATGATGTCAGATTTTGAGGGGAGTTTTTTGCAAAAAGCTGTACTTCGCTATAAAAACTATATTTGTTGATGTAAAACCTGCCCGTGATTGCTGCTGCAACAACACTTAATCAAGATGACCTCTCACCATTTTCTTCCCACAGAGGGGAGTAAGAAGGCATCCATTTATCTGTTTTGTTTTTGATGAATAGCTTTGACTCATTAAGGGACACCAGCTGTTTTATATCAAAGCATGTACCACTTGATGTTGAATATAAGCTCATTTATACAACATATCTATTTATCTGAAGATACATTGCATCCAGACAGTATTCAGAGCATTTCTTTATTTCATTTATTTTCTTATAATTTCACAAAAATAAAAAAAACAACACTTATTTTCACATCGTCATAGCAGGGTAATGTTTGTAGAATCTTAAGGAATTAAGTTAATTTAATACTTTTTTAAATATGGCTGTAGCATAACTAAATGTTGATGAAGAGCAGCGCTTCACTTCTTGGATGAAGTGTACCTCAGGCTGTTTCACACAGTGCTAAAGAATAAAATAGTATCAGAAAATGAGCAGGAATTGAATTTATACGTTTATTAACCCTGTACAGTTGGTGTATAATAGGCAGGCAACGATTTAAGGAATTTTTCAGTAGATGATTGCCGTGGTTGAAGATTTAAATCTAGATCCATTTAAAACATTGTGTTTGAGAATAAGAAGGAAGTTTTAGGAATAATAGATATGCAGTAAAGGGGGCAGCTACAGCTGCATGGATATGTCCTCTTCTTTTGGTTCTGGGCATGGTCTCCCTGCAGTTTTCTGGAAAGGTAAAGTCTCCCTTCAGACCCTTTTGTTATGCCAGGTCCAGTAAATGAACATGTATTCCTTCATTGAACTTTTTGTATTTTTAAATTAGAACTTGACGTTCTGAAACAATTTTATGCATATTCTGAAATCCAGATCTGACTAAATGTTTTAATCTTTTGACTAACAAATTCTCTGTTGCTGTTCTATTGCTGCAGCTGGACTCATGGTCGGTGATCTTAAACGGCTCCGTGGAGGTGACCTACCCTGACGGCCGGACAGAGATGCTGTGCATGGGAAACAGTTTCGGTGTTTCTCCAACCATGGAGAAGGAATTTATGAAAGGTGTCATGAGGACCAAGGTGGACGACTGCCAGGTTGGAACCTTAATTTGACTTGATCTGTCACACTCCGCTAGCATGAACAGGTCCATTTCCTTTGCATTTCAGTGTGCAAAACCTGGCAGGAGCCCTGTCATCTTATATTATTAAATCCCACTGTGCCCCACTTGTGCTGAAATGTTTGCACTCACCACAGAGGAAGGTGCCCAGGGCAGTAGCAGCCTTTAATATGTGAGGCACAGGCATTTTCAGGTGAATGAGCCGCCTCCTGCAAATCACAGCTTCGCACTATTTGCATCATCTGTCAGGAGAGATAATGCAGCAAACTAAGGGCCGCATGACTTTATATTTTTTTTAATGGGAAGTTCAACACAATAAAAGTTGAGTTGACTGGGACTGGTTACTATAGTCAGAGTAGCACTACTACATCATGTTTTTACTAAAGTAAAAGCGTAAAGTAGCCATTTAAGGATTTACTCAACAAAAAAGGCTACATAGGTACAAAACTGATCATAACTGATTTAACATTTAAAGATGATGCAAAGCTACAACGAATGTGAAGTTATACTTGTTGCAAGTTCTAATATTTCATAAAATTAGATAAAAAATAGGTTACATAGTTAGATCATAACAATTTCAGGTGAAAGAAACAGTTGAGTAAAAATTACACAAACCTTGAGTAAAAATATGAAGTCTGTTCGACTGATGCAAGTTTTATTGACATTAATCTAGCCAATCCCAGATATCTGCTGCTCGTTTTTTAGAGGCGATGATTTCTTTATTTATTCGTTCATTTTTTTTAAGCCACTATTGCATTTTCTTCCTTGATTTACATGATAATAATAAAAATAAAATTGACACAATGATAACAGATGTTAGAAAAGTTTAAATGTTAGAAAAAAACGAACAGAAAATTAGCAATGGATAGCAAAAGGATGGAGCGGCAGTGTATTCGCTCACGGCATGGCTGCTAAATGCTCTAAAGTTACTCCTAGAAGTATATATATGTTTTAGTTACGGAAATATAACTGAGTAAGTGTAAGAAGTTCCTACAGCAGTAGCAGCAGCTCACCCACCTGTTCCTCCTGATGGGCAGCAGGCTGCTTCTCTGACTGTCAGGTTGTTTAACTCGCAGAGCGATGCTGATCATGTTGACAGTCAGATGGAGAGATTAAAGGGAGCCAGAAGGAAACAGGCCATACATTAGTTTAAAGGTCTTTACCCAGGTTTGCAGAACCTCTTCAGTACAATGCTTTAGATATCATTGACACATTTCAAGCTTTTTGACATCTTCCTCTCAGCTTCTTGCCTTTTGTCCTTTTGGAAGATTCACGTTTTTTTTGCTTTAAATCATGTAATTCTGACTAGTAGATATAAAATCAACATGAAAAACAAACATTTGATTATTAAGGTTGACTAGTTGGTGCAACTCAGCTGAATGGTGTTTCACCTACATGGTTTTTTTATTCATTGGCTGAGCTCATTCTGCATAAATTACATTTTTGTTCCCTTTTCCCCAAAGTAGCGTTTTGAAGGTGTCCTAAAGAGCAATGTTGATTTTGTATCTCTTCCAGTTTGTATGTATAGCCCAGCAGGACTACTGCTGCATCCTCAACCAGGTTGAGAAGAACATGCAGAAGGTGGAGGAGGAAGGGGAGATAGTAATGGTGAAGGAACACCGGGAACTGGACCGTACAGGCACCAGGAAAGGACATATTGTCATCAAGGTAACACATCGACAGGTGCTTTGCTTTTATCCTAATTTTGCATGATCAACTTCTAAACTTACGTCTCTCTTCTCCATCATCAGGGCACACCTGAACGTCTCACCATGCATCTGGTGGAGGAGCACTCAGTAGTGGACCCTACCTACATTGAGGACTTCCTGTTGACCTACAGGACTTTCCTGTCCAGCCCCATGGTCGTGGGAAAAAAGCTCCTGGAGTGGTTTCACGACCCAAGTCTCAGGGATAAGGTACGCAGCAGAGCAGAAGAGTCCTAATCTGCTAAAGGATTGGCTGATAATCTGGATTGAGATGATGGATTTATAAATCTTTTTCTTAATATTTGATTATTACCAGATTTTATGCTGCATTTAGGGGAATGAATTTCATGAAACTTGTCAAAAACCTGTTCAAAACCATTTTGACAAATTAGAGTATTATAGAAATGTTCATTTCTTTTCATATTTTAATTTAACAGGTTAAAGATATGTTAGAGATTCATTACTCTCAGAATGATGACTTGGAGGAAAAAAAAAACTTTTATTAGAACTTAGACTTTTAAAACAGATGATATTAAAATGTGCCTGAAGTTGTTTCCGGTTTGGTCTCTCAGGTCAGGTAATATTACCGTACATGTGCTGATCATGTGTTTTTCTCAGGTTACACGGGTGGTCTTGCTGTGGGTAAACAATCATTTCAATGACTTCGAGGGAGACCCTGCCATGACTCACTTCTTGGAGGAGTTTGAGAGCAATCTAGAGAAGGAAGTACGTTTCTCATCAGACCAGTGCTTCGACAAATACACAAAACAAAAGGAGAAATATAATTTCGATACAAATTCAATCTTAAATATATCTTTCTTTTTCTTTCCAGAAAATGTGCGGGCACCTCAGACTGTTAAATATAGCGTGCGCTGCTAAAGCCAAGCCACGGTTGGTGACGCTCACCAAGCCATCTAGAGACTCTCCTCTAGCGTTCACCCTCCTTGGAGGACAAGAGAAAGGTTTCTGCATCTTCATCGATGCCGTGGAGCCCGGGAGCAAGGCAGCCGAGGCCGGACTCAAGCGTGGAGATCAGGTAACTGTGATGCAAACAGACATTGGGGAAGGGTTGAAGCATGATGTTCTGTTTTGGTTTGAATTTTTTCTGGCTTTAACAATTATTTCTTTCTCTTTAAAATAAAGAGAATGAAATAAATCAGACCAACAGACAAACAGTCAAATGGGTCTTTTTTTCCTGTTGAAACTAATTTTTGTTGTGAAATTGGTTTCGCATTATGACCTAACTAGCATTGAAAGGATTTCCTTTAAGGAGTATAAAATTGAACTTTCCGGTAGCTGCAGGCGCCCTGTGTGGACTTTCTCCCAACCAGTTTCACACTCAGTAGTCTCTGAGCTCTAAGCCAACACTCTTAATCCTTGAAACCATCTTGCGAGTGTCTGGGCAGGAGTTAAGCCCTCCTGACACCCAACATCCTCTGCAGCTGTTTCCCCCAAAAATAAGCAGAGACGCTGACCTTCTTGGAAGCTAAGGATCATGAGATGCTGCTAAGTAAGGGATGTAGCACCTTTAGGTTGGTTCATTTAGACCCCTGACCTGCTGCATGCACCTTACAGCTGTCTGAATGATTTTCACTTGCACACCTCCACAATGACATATTGTTGCAAATGGAGACAGAAACCTTTGCCTATTCTTTATTCTTTGCACAATGTCCCAAAACCTGCCGGATTCCCTGGTGCTGTCTGAGCTTCTCTTCTACATGTTTAAATTAGAAGATGTTTAACAATTTCTGGTCCATCCAGCAGGAAACACAAAGGTTCCAGTGAGCACAACCAAGAAAAACAAATCAAACCCAGCTTTGTATTTTAAAACCTATTTAAAACGTTTGTCCTTACTTTCGTGGGCTAAAATTAGACAATAGAGATATCTATTTGTTTTATCTCTAACTTTGTAGAACTGTGGTATTAGTTAATCTTTTAAGAGGTTGTTAGAAAAGTTAAGCACTCATAACACATTTCACAACCACTTCTTCTGGTCATAAATTTATGACCAGCGGAGGTGGTTGTGAAATGCGTTGGGTTCATGTTTTTTGAATGCAGGCTAAAGGTTTGTAAGAGCTTATTATTTACCTTTTTTTGAGGAGGGTCATATCTGATTTTAAGATGGTTTTGGACCCAAACCCCTTTTATTTATTTTGTTTATTTTATCTTCTACAAAGACAAACATACGATGAAAGGCTTATTATGTCTCTCCTTTAAATTTATTAGCTTCTGTAGAGAACTTATTTCTTATTTTCAGCTCTCCTGACTGACTATAAGCTTTCAGTGTAGGAACTGAGATGTTCATTGAATATGGTTGAATTTTGTCACTTAGGTTTTTAAAAGAATGCCGATGTTCTGTCAGACAAGCATACCCGGTCAGACCAGCATACCCATAGTCAATACCTGTTTATCCCTTTAGTTTATCCCTGTTTATCCCTTTAGTTTATCACTTTAGTTTTGTACGAAAAATAGACTATAAAATACTTCAACGGGCTTGTATCCCTTTAGTCATGTATAAAAAAAACTGCTTAATTATTCACTTTTTGTTGTTTTTAAATGGCATCTGACCTTAAATTATTTTTGTACATGAATAAAGGAATACATGCCCATCAAGGTAGTTTAGAATCTTTTTTTTGTAAACAATTAAGGGGATAAACAAATCTGACGTCTTGCGCATGCATATTGACTATGGGTATGCTGGTCTGATGGGTTATGCTCATCTGACAGAACACCGGCCCACAGCATCACAGGTTCCCCTTTGCACTTAACTGTGGACATGAAGAGCTTTATCACATATGAGTCCTTTGTTTTTATCCTGACTCACCAGGACTGTTGGTTACTGAATAAACTCTATATTGGCCTCATCTTCCTAAAGTGCACAGTTTCAGTTAAAGTCTAAGTAGTTCTTACACTGGTTGGAACTGATCGGGCTTAGATTAAGAAAGATTTAATTTAGATTTATGTGCATGTTTTTCTTTACTTTTGTCTTTTAATGTTTTTCATAGTTGTTTGCCTCTTTTTACTTTGTGGCTATCTTTGTCAGTACTCTATTGGAAAATAAGTTTTTAACCTCAATAAAAACCAAAACTTTATTTTATGGTAACTGGAATGCCTTAATGGTTCAAAATTATTTTCTCTCTTATTTTTTTCCAGATCTTGGAGGTAAATGGGCAGAATTTTGAGACTGTCCAGTTCAGTAAAGCCAACGAGATTTTAAAGAACAACACCCACTTATCAATTACTGTGAAAACAAATCTTTTAGGTAAGTTTGTTTTATCTATATATATATATATATATATATAGCTATAATTTTAGCTCTTCCACTTAAACCTGAGCTCTTCTTTTTACCTTGTTCTCTTCTGTTCAGTCTTTAAGGAGCTGCTAACACGACCCGAACATGACCACGACCTGGATGTGGACGAGGAACACGACAGGAAGAACGGGGCTCCTCACCTACCAAAGATTGGGGACATTAAAAAGGCGAGTCGTTACTCCATACCAGACCTGGCTGTGGACGTGGAGCAGGTCATGGGCCTGGAGAAAGCCAGCAAAAAGGGCAAGAGCAACACGGTCGGAGGGCGAAACAAGCTGAAAAAGATCTTTGACAAGACTCTCACCAGCATTCTGCCCCCCAAACCATACAAGTAAGAAAATCGATTCAGCTGATCTCTGCCAACAGTTGGATCAGATCTTTGCGATCAGCCAACAGTGTCAGAATGATCAAGCAAAGAATGTTTTTACTCTAAGTACATTAAACAAAGCATCAGTTTTCATCCGCCGCCCTCTGCTTGTTGACTGAAGTGCTCTTCCACCCACTTCCTTCTGTTCTTCTTGTTTCCATAGCGACGTTTGTGTAGGGCAATCACAGGATGACAGCATAGTGGGCATGAAGCCGTCCAAACAGATCCCACCAGCTCTGCCGGTCAGTGGAAACCTGTCTTCGTCGAACCCAGACCTCCTGCAGTCACACCACCGCATCCTGGACTTCAACAACCAGCCTGGTGTGTATTCACACACTGTTGGGGGAGTGTGGATTTATTTTGTTTTATTTATCTTTAAGATACTCCCAAGGTTTAGTAAGAAGAACATGATTCTGAGGTAAATTTGAGAGGGGATAAAGATGACAGGTGGGATTTATTTAAATGGTGCAGTCTAGAAATCTGATTTTTCTCTTCAGGGGCTGTACCGTATTGTTTAATATTGAAGTGAAAACAGTTACAGTAGTTCACTATTTTCCTCATTCCATCTCTTACTGAAATGATGCCCTCAAAAAATCTGTCAGAACCTCGAATCTGCCAAATTTTATTGACCAGTTCTGATTGGCTGTCAGCAAATAAGAAAAAAAAAAAGGAAAATAAAATTCAGTTGTTGACCGAATATATCTACTTGAAGAACTATAATATTTTGTGTGCAACAGCATCAAGCAGCAACATGTAACATTATGCTCTGTAGGGATGCTTAGCGTTTATTACTCTAGGAATCTAAATGCTAACAATCATTTGATGCTGATATACATGTGACATATTATGCAGACCGTTTTTTAACAGAGTTTCGCATTTTAAATTGTAGTGCTTTAAGACACCCAAATACAAAGTATCCAAACAAGGAAATACTTTTTCATAATGATTAAAACATCCCTTTAATGCTGTTTTTTCATTATATGGATTCTGTTAATCCAGCTTTGGTTTTCATCAGGGTACTACACCATCAAATGATTCCTAAAGTGCTAGTTTGCTATTTTGCTTATAAGCAAAGTTGTGGTGTATTACCTCTACAATGGTAATACACCATAGTGCAATTATGATAGAGTGAGACTGTAGTCTCAATAACTGTATTTAGTGAAATAAAATGTGTTTTATAAATGATCAGGGGAAAATATTTGGTAGAGAACAAATTAAAGTCATTCCATCTTTTTTTTTTATCCTTTCAGTTCAAGTTATCCTGAGTGAGTATCCCCCCCTCCCCTTCATAATTCTGCTTCTTCTTCTGTCCCATTTAAGCGTCTCCCATTTTACCAAGCAGGCATGCAGAATCTCTTGCACAACATTTGTGGGTTAAATGGTTGAAATGCTCTTTAGGGGGTACATAGGTCTGGGTTTTATCGTGATGGCGGTGGTGGCTTTTGGTTTTTAAAGGTGTTTTGTTGTATTTCTATCTTTATTTTAAGTCAGAATTATATATAATTTTGCCTATAAATCTAAATGTATCTCCCCAGATATGTCGGACCAAGTGTTACGAGTATTCAAAGCGGACCAGCAGTCTCGATATATTATGATTGGGAAGGACACAACAGCGAAAGAAGTGGTGGCCCAGGCTATTAGGGAGTTTGCCCTGACTGCTGCACCCGAGGCTTATTCGCTATGTGAAGTGTCTGTCACACCTGAGGGCGTCATTAAACAGAGGAGGTTACCAGATCAGCTTTCCAAGCTAGCCGACAGGATTCAGCTCAGTGGCAGGTAAGAATGTTTAAAATCTAAAAAGTAACGCACAAGAAAACTTTCCTGTTCTTTAATGTTTTGACATTTTTAGCCCAGGTTAGGTTATGTTTACACTCCTAAAGGGATATTTTAGCTAAACAAGGAGCACCTAAGCATATATACTTCCTTTTATTAATACATTTCTGTACATTGAGAGGCAATTGTTTCCAAATTTCAGAGACTTTTTCCTTTATATAGGTTTTTTTAAGTTGGCAATCTTTAACATTTCAATTGATTAAAAAAAATCTAAATTATCTAATTTATTCAACTAGATACTACCTGAAGAGCAACATGGAGACAGAAACATTATGTTCCGATGAAGATGCCCAGGACCTCCTTCGAGAAGGCCAGATCTCTCTGCTACAGCTCAGCACCGTGGAGGTGGCAACCCAGCTCTCCATGAGAGCCTTTGAACTCTTCTGTGCCATTGAACCCACCGAATACATCGACGATCTGTTCAAGCGGCGCTCAAAGACCGGCTCCCTCAGTCTCAAGCGTTTCGAGGAGTCAATCAACCAGGAGACCTTCTGGGTGGCAACGGAGGTGGTGCGGGAGGCCAACCAGCTCAAGCGCATGAAGATCATTAAGCATTTCATCAAGATCGCTCTACATTGTCGAGAATGCAAGAACTTCAACTCCATGTTTGCAATCATCAGGTTAGACAAAACACAATATATTAATTACTTGCTACTTAAACCTTTATTGTATTCTTTACTGTATTACGTTTTCTCTTAGTACGCAGTATTCTATGCTGGTAGAAAACACGATTTACATGGACACAAAAAAATCTGTTTTCATCTACCTGTGGTTCTCTTCTCAGTGGTCTAAACTTGGCTCCAGTCTCCAGACTAAGAGGAACATGGGAAAAACTACCAAGCAAATATGAGAAACTCTTCGGGGATTTGCAGGATCTCTTCGACCCCTCTAGAAATATGGCCAAGTACAGAAATGTTCTTAACAATCAAAACCTTCAGCCACCTATCATCCCCCTGTTCCCAGTTATAAAGAAGGACCTGACCTTCCTACATGAAGGTATGTGACAGGAACACTGCTTTTGATTTAATCCACCTTCAGGCCAATCAACTGTAATGAAGTTAGTCACATCATGGCAATAGCTGACAAGCTACAGATTAGTTAGACTTTATTAATTGGTTGGACTTTAAATTATTGATTTTAATATTTAATTATCAAAAAATGAGTAAAAGATCTGCAAGATTGGTATCAATTTGTTTTTTGGAGAAAATGCCAAAATTTGAAAAGTTTTGATATAAAGAACTGGCTCTTGTTTATATTAACAAGAAATATTTGATATATATTTTAAGCAGCAACATTTTTTTTTAATCATTAACAAAATATTGCCAAGTTGGAATAAACAAGCAGATGGTGTTACATTTGACAGTAGAAGTAGAAGAAGAATTAGTTTTAAATACAATTTTTATTATCTATTTTATAATTATATAATTTTAAAGACATTTTAAATATAATTATAAAGACAGATTTTCTGTTAAACTGAAACACAACTTTGTCATTTTTATCTTTTCAAAACAGCATAAGAAAATACATTCATCTCTAATTTAACTCAAATTTTAATAAAGTTTATATTAAACTTAATATTTTCTTGTTTCGTTTTTCTTATTAAGCAGTTAAGTTCTACTGTAGTACAGTTGAATTAGAAATGAGTTTACATTTACAAAACTAAAATAAAAAAAAGGAAACTTATTTTTTTTAAGCTAACAGCAGTTGCTAACCTTAGCCTTAGTTTCTTTCTCTCTAGAGGAATGTTTCACTTTTTATTCTTTAAGAGTTGAAATAGATTTAATGCTCTAAATTTACAGGCAATGACTCCAAAGTGGACGGCCTGGTGAACTTTGAGAAGCTTAGGATGATTGCCAAAGAAATCCGACACGTTGGACGCATGGCCTCCGTCAATATGGATCCAGCCCTCATGTTTCGAACCAGGTAAGGATACGTATAGAAGGTCCGATGTAGGAATAATCCAGAAGCCCTCCCCTCCCCTTTAGGGGCAGCCAGCACTCCACTGACTAACCTGCTCTGTGGGGTCAGCCAGTCCATTTAGATTCAGTCAAGTTTCTGCATCACGCTTCTCCAGCAGCTGTTCTTTTTTGGCAATTGTTTTTTTCAAGCAACTGTTTCTTTAAACACACTGTTGGCGTTAAAAATTGCTCAGTGAAACCAAGCCTTTGTTTAATGATGTCCTCTAAAGCGTTGCCACTCGATATCCTGTCTGCTGACTTTCATGTGGGTGTGGTGTAATCGCTTCTCTTTGGTGATCTTGGTGGTCTTTCCTGTCCTAAGCTTTGTCTCCTGTCTTTCTCTTTGCTCATATACCCTTTGCCCCCCTCCCCATCCATGCTTCTCTTGTTTGTGGCACCCCGTCCTCTAGGAAGAAGAAATGGAGAAGTTTAGGGTAAGTTTGGCAACCAAATCTTTATCCCTCTCTGCACTGTGGCCATGTCTATCTGCCAATGTTTGTTCTGCTTTGCCTCTTTATCTTCCTTTTCTAACCACCTTGAGTTCCTCCCACTAAATCTGCTTGACACTAACCTCAGGATACTGAATGTACTGACTGTAACAAAGGCCACATTTGCCAAGTAAAGGTCACTCTGGTCACTGCTGGGCTTTCATTAGCAAATGTCACCTTCAGTTTTATGTTGTTTTCAACAAACTGCATGCAGTCCCAGTTTTGGAATTTTTTTTTTTTCATCTATCAGAATTGCCCTTAACGAATTTTCAGTATAGATATGTATTCATATATTGTTTTCATTCTTTGCATTCTTGTGGTCAAATCACACATTTTAGTACTTAGGGCCCTGTCACACCTTGCTGATTTAGCCAGCGTATGCCTGACGTCCCAGAATCTTCTAAAACACTGGCATACGCTGAACTTTCTATGTATTTTTTATTTTATTTTGGGCGTATACATTGATTATAACGATTCCAGAGCATATGTCCAACGACAGCCTAACTTATGCTTAACGCACAGCAGCATAATGCCCATGAAATGATGCACAAGCCAGTGTCCTGAAGGGGGCTGCGATACGCCCAGCCTACATAAAAAGATTTCTTTGATCACAGTATTAACCTAGCTGCTCTGTACCGCCCGCCAAAAAAAAAAGAGAAGAAATAAAGAAAAAGAAACAAGGTTTGCAGTCGCAGCAGATTCATTGTCATGTCTGCTAGGAAGTTTGTTGGTCGTGGGCGTGAACGCAGGTAGGATCCATCACACTCACCTTCAGGCTCACCCTATGATGGAATGAAGTCTGGAGGAGTACTGACGGTTTCTTGATAAGTTACGCATAGGTTTTGGATAAGCTAGACACCATGACTTATGAGTAACTTACATTTACGTATGTTTACGGTCACAACTTACCTGTAGCTTATAGCACACGTTGATGTACGCCGAGTATGTCGTATGTCGATGTATGCCAGCGTGTTTCAGCGTGCTTAGAACTTATACAAAACATACGCACTTATCCAACGTATGCTAGCGTTTTTGCAAGATTTTCCATACATCAGGCATATGCTAGTCTAAATCATCAAGGTGTGACAGGTGCATTACAGAACAAGTTATCTGTAACATATTGCAGCACATTTAGTCATCCATGTTTTGTAAAAAACACTTTTTATATGTTATTTATAAGCATTTTTTTCCCAATGATAAAATCCTCTAAAAAGAAAAAGGAATTTTAGAGAAAGCAAATAGTTGATTTAAAATGTTTGAGTGCAACTTGTTTCATTTTTTGTCCGCTAACAGGACCAAATGTGGCTTTAAGTTAAGACCACAAGCAGTTGTCAGGAGTTTTTTTGTCAGAGACCACAAGCAAAAGCTCTTACTACGATTTACTACGAGCTCTGACTCAAACCACAGAAATGTAAACTATGACTTTGCTACAGTAGTCGCCCTCTCTGTTCCAGCGTTGTTTAACTCCAGCTGTCAGCTCTCACCTCCCCCACTCTTCCTGGAATGACTGGAATGTTTTCAAGTAGAGAAAAAAACCTAAAGCTGCTTTCTGCATGTTTCAGTTTAAACACCATGCTCCCTGTATAACCCCCCTAGACTTTAACAGTCTAATCGGCTATTTTAAAGAATTTTATTGGTCATTTCTGTAGATTTCTATCTATAGCCTGAATTCACTTTCCCTTTCTGATTTTTGTTGTGTTTACACTTATGCGTACCTGACCAGGTCTTTGAGTCAGGGCAGCGCCAATGCAGCCGTGCTCGACGTAAGCCAGACAGGCGGGCACAAGAAGCGGGTTCGACGTAGCTCCTTCCTGAACGCCAAAAAGCTCTATGAGGACGCCCAGATGGCCAGAAAGGTCAAGCAGTACCTTTCCAACCTGAGCCTTGAGACGAACGAGGAGAGCCTTCAAACGTTCTCACTACAGTGTGAACCCTCAATCAGCACATGTGAGTGCAGCTACTCTCTAAATATGGCATCAAAACTTTCTCTATGCTCAGGCATGTTTAGCTATTATTGTAAATTTAAACCCTTATACAGTTGTATTTACTACTTTTTGGATTTCAGTTCTGATCTGGCTTGTAGATCGTTGTACATATATTTTTTTAAAGTATGAAATATGTTAAAATTAAAAATAAATTTAGAGAAGTGACTTAATGGCTGCTGAGAGTATGACCCGAATTTTTGAAAGATCAGATAATGATGATGGCCATATTTATATGATTTCACAACATCACAGCATAAAGGTCCTGAAAAGGTCCTGGAGCAACGAAAAAAAGCTGCAGTTACAAAAAAATACAGAGCAGCAAAGTGAAAACCTGCTGCAAATGTCCTCAGCATGGCCTTCAAGTTATGAAGTTATGTTTTTGCCAAGGGTCTGCACCATAGATGATTATTTATGGTAATGTCTATGATCTGGTCCCATATGAGCTGATGATTGTTTCCCCCTAGTGGTCTGGAAGAACTCTGTTATTGCAACTTTTCTTAAATTGCTGTTGTTCTTATTTCCAGCATCCCTCTGTTTAGGTGTGTTTTATGTTTTTCTTTTTTATTTGCATCATGTTTCCACATTGTTGCTCTCGATTTTCTTGTAATTTAAGCATTTTGTAGAATTTTTATGTTTGCAAAATTCTTCTTTTTGCAGGACCTTATGATTTTTTTGTGAAATGTGAACATTTGTAGGTTAATGTATTCAGGTAAAGGAAGGCAGATTATGATGAAATTATGTTCAAGTTTTATAGATTTTAGAGCTCAAACATAGCAATAGCAATGAAAAACTTAGACCTATCTAGACAATTTACATCACAAAGGCTGACCCAGAAATTAACACTATTAGTTAATTTGCTCAGTTTACTTTTGTTGCTGTTGATGCAGGGATAAAATGACTCTGGTTGTCATCAATAGTCGTTTTCTTAAACTTTTGCCCAATTCAGATTTTTTTTTTTTTTGTAATTAACTCCTGTTTTTACATTTTTCGTAGTACCCAAGACTGCTGGTGGGAAACGACCAGACACTTCTCCAGTCGTATCCAGAGCAGCCAGTCAGCAACGGGGCCAATTGGCCAAAGGAAACCAAGCCCTGCAAGTCCCCAGTGTGGCCCTCTACCCGTCCCGGAAGAGGGTGCCAGTCAAGGATCTGCCACCTTTTGGTTAGAAACTTATGGATAACAATCTCTCAGTTTGGTTGTAGGATATGTTAATAGAAATGTAGCTGCAGTATGGAAAAAAAATCAATTTTATTTATTAGGAAGTTATTATTTTTTTAAGTGCTAATTTCCTTTCAGTCTCTTTAAGCTACTTCTGCATTGTTTTGTTTTTCTTCCTTGAGCTGTTTACAAACTTCAAGGAGCAGTTTCTTCTCTATAGCAATGCTGCCACCTAGAGGCTGCAGCCAAATAAAGAAAAAGTAGAACATCCAGACAATGCAGCCTGGCATCCACCCCCCACATGGGAGACTGTAGCGTTCCTCGAGCTAATTATGCTTGTTTTGTTGGAAATATCTACAGGCACCAGTTCGCCCCAGTCTCTGAAGAAGATCCTGTCTCTGTCTGAGGAGGGGAACGAAAGGCACCGGAGGCAGCCAGAGGACACCATGTCCAACGCCTCCTCCCACCTCTCCTCTCCTCCCACTTCCCCTCAGAGCTCACCCAAGAAGGGTAAACCAGTAATCCTCCCGCTTAGAGCTCTTTCTCTGTCACTGAGTGCTGCCTATGCCACCTGGTGGCCACCAACTGTAATGATTTATAGCGGTAGTTATTTCTGATCCCTTTATTTTGGTTTACCAGAAATTTAACAAAAAAGGATTTAAAAAATAAAAACATTCTCAACTTAATTTCTTCACATATATCCTTTTTAAGTTTAGACAGTTTTCCTTTAGTCAGTTAGTCTTTTAAAATGTCATATGCCAATATTTCAGATAATACAGATAGAAAAACTTTAAGCTATTCTTAAGCTTTTGGCTTAAGAATAGCTTGGATCATAAAACCTTTTTCGTTGTTTAATTAGACGTGCACCTGTATAAGGCAAAGTCATTCAGTATTTATTTTCATGTTTTGCTTAAAAGGTCTTAAAATGTGTCTTTGTCTTGATTCTTATTATATTAGAAAGTAAAGAATTATTTATCTTGGACATTTTAGTTTCATATGTGTCGGTTGAGTTTAATATTTAACACAGATGAAAGGATAACCAGGTGTCCGTTGACTGAAGGTTGATGTTACATTGGCTGTGGAGCCACACTGTTTTCTTACAGTGTCTTTTATGTTAAGATGTCTTTCTGCAAAGTTACTTAAATTAAAATGTTTGTGACACTGAAGGAATAAACTGGATCATTTTTACTACATCAGAGACACGTTTCTTAGTTGATGTGCTTCTACAGCAGCAACAGCATCGATCAGATGCTGAGGATCAGATGCTGAGGATAAATTAACCAAAACTTCTTTGGAATAAAATATGTACTACAGTAGAACAAATATTTCTCAAAATCAGAACACATTACAGCTCTATCTCTCCTATCACAGAAAATCCTCCATGTTATCAGATAAAGGCAGACCTACATTTTTTAGCATCATGTCACACTAAATAACTATTAAATTTAACAGTACTGCACCCCAACTCTGCCTGAAAACTTTAGGTTTGCTTCAGTCCTCCATTAAAAGATAGAAAAAATGTGTTTTGGTTCACAAATACACTTTCCTTACAATGTATTAGAATATCCTCATTGGATATTTCACATCTAAAACATAAGATATAGCTAATCTATCTAAGGTGATAATCACACAGGTTTAGAGATCTGTCTGTAAAAGTAAAGATTCAAATGAACCAAATTTTAGCCTGTCTATGTCCTTCTTCCAGGTTACGGTAGGATGGGCGACGCCTACTCAGACTCTGGTCACAGCGAGATCTCGTCTCGCTCCAGTCTCGTCAGTAACTCGTCTTTCGACATGGCCCAGGAGGAGAGGAGACTGCGTCACTCTGGAGGAGTTGGTGAATCCCACATAGGTGGGGCTCGGCTGGAAAGAAGGGCTACAACTGACCCTGACCAGTACAGTCTGGGGTAGGATAGAGAAACCTAGAAATATAAGCAAAGTTCTTAAATGAATAGTTTTTAAAATGTCTCTTTTCGTTTTTATCACAGGTCGTATTCCTCGATGCAAGACTGTCGAGGTATTTATGGAGGTTGCACCACCGTACTCTCCTCGCCCAGCTCCGAGGAACTGACTCAGGATCAGGGAGATCGTGTGTCCCTGGATGCTGCAGACAGCGGGCGAGGCTCCTGGACTTCCTGTTCCTCTGGTTCCCATGACAACATTCAGAACATGCAGCAGGGACGTAGCTGGGAGATTGGCATTGGAGGGCTGTCTTCAGCATCAGAGGCCTTATTAGGGGGTCCTGCTGCTCTGTGGGCAGCACAGACCAGGGGAAGCTGGGCATCGGCCAGCTCCTCCTCATCCTCGGCCGCATACTGGGGGGAAGAATCAGAGGGAGACACCGGAACGATTAAGAGGAGAGGAGGAAAGGATGTAAATGCTGACCCAGAGACTAGTAGCATCACATCCACCGGGTCAGAGGAGGCCAAGCAGCTCGGCCGGCCGTCTCCATCACCCATCCCAACAGGGGGTAAAGGCTTTATTTGTGAGTGTTGTTTCTTGTCCTGTCTGTCAAACTTTGTTTGTAGAGCACTTTTTATACAGTCAGGTAACAAATGCTTCCAGAGCATAAAAACAACACAAAACACATTTAGCCACCTGGGACACACATCAAATCAAGGAAACAGACAGGGGAACATAGCAAAACACATCCATTGATTGATGAGAGAACTATAAAGAATTAAAAGTGACAGAAATCAAGCAAGTGTAGAGAAAAATAAACCAAAGTTGAATTCAAAACTATTTAGTCTTGAGTTTAAGATCACAACAAGAACTGTGGAGGTAAAGATTGTAGGATGTGTTTATATTTGTTAGTCGCTGTTTGACTGCTTAGCTGATCTCTAACAAATAGGATGCCGGGAAAGCCAGCCAATTCTTCTCCCACCTCCACAGCCTGCATGCTTTTATTTATAGATCCTCTCAGAATAGGTCTGTACATTTACTAGCATTCAAAAATAAAAAGAGATCACAATGTCAGTATAAGGGACAAAATGCATCGTAGTGGGATGTACAAATGTAGTGGTGCTTGGCCCTGCACCCCTGAAAATACAGCAAAACTGTGAAATAATGCAGCTGGAATCCAGCAAACCAAAATAAAGCCTGGGTTCTGTTGTGCTCAGTTAAAACCATCCCTGAAGCTTCCTTTCCACAGTGTACAAAGAAAGGAGAAAGAACAGCAGCCATCTATTCAATTCAATTCAGTTAATTTATATAGCGCCAAATTCACAACACATGTCATCTCAAGGCACTTTACAGTTCAACCAGATCATACCGTCAAATTGATACAAAGTTTTCTTCACATAAAAATCGCTTCAAGACTCATTATCCCAGTTTGCATAGACAAAGTTTACCACATGTTTTTTTCCTTTCATCAAACTTTCTGTTAATGTGCCACTTTTTTAACAATGATCTTTAGCGGCTTATCCTTTGTGTGGATGGAATTAGTAGGTCCAGGTTAAATCTGCATGTCAAATACAACTACAGTTCTAACACCTACCTTCATAACGATGTGATGTTTTACAGTAATTGTTCAAATGAGCATAAATAAATGCAGCATTTCATTAAAAAAAAAAAATTTTCTCCCAGGGGGGTGTTGGGTTTTTTTTTTTTTTTTTTTTTTTTTTTACTGGTTGTAGATGTTGAGAACTGTAGGCAGGAAGGGTCTCCTGTAGAGCTCCGTCTCCCTGGGGATCTGCTTTTAACTGAAAAGGCTGCTGCTTTTTGCTGTGTCTGCAATGAACCTCTGTGTGTTGGTATCTAATTGGCTGAAATAAATAATAATCTCATAGACTGGGCTGCACCTGTCAAACCACTTCTTTCACATAGAACTAGACATTTAAATAGAGAGAAATCCAAAATAAGTCTGTCTGTAGATCTATGTGTGATTTATGTGATACTCACTAATACTCTAAAAGTATACATCCACAGCTCGTACTTACAGGTATCAATGCTCTCTTGTGTGCAGCTCGAAAGGAGGGCCGTTACCGCGAGCCTCCGCCGACTCCTCCTGGCTACACCGCTCTCACCATTTCTGACCTGGCCGAGGGCCAGCACCCGGCGCCGCCTGCCCCCACGTCCGCAGCGAGCCGCCGACCGCCGGACTACACCACGGCGCTGCAGCGCTCACGCATGGTCACCCAGTCGCCTGACTCTCATCAGGCCCATCAGGCCGCAAAGCGTCGGGGGGGAAGCCTCCGCCGCACCCGCTCCTCAGCGGACGAGCAGGAGCCAGAGGATGAAGAGGAGGGTGAGTCCTTGTCTCCAAAACTAGTGGCTCTGAGGAAACCATTGGCGCAGCATACACCTGAGCCTCCCAGACGGTGAGAGTGTGTGGGGTTAACAGGCCCCCACCCCCCACCAGGCAGGTAACAACTTTATCCTCAGTGAAACCTGCATGTGAACAAATACAAACACCAGGACTGAAACTGACCACACAGTGACCCCCTCCCTCCTCGTCCCACTGCAAGATCTAAACGTCACAACACGACTTCCTGCATGATTCCTGCTGACCGCCTGGTTCCTCACTGCTTCCCTGCAGCAGCTCTCTCCTCTTCTCACTGTCTTCTCACTCCAACAACAGTTTGATAGCAGTCAGTTCTTTACACCTTTCAAACAACTGCAGAAACCTTCACCTCCTCTCTCTTGTCCCAGCGTTAACAAAGTTTGTTTTCATTTTTTATGTATATTTCAAAATATGTGTCATTTGGTTAAACGTTACAGAGAGGCTGTGAGTTTATGCAGTAAAAGTTTTATTAAAAGGTACCTGTTGTACCTTCCTGCTTCCACTTGGTGGCACTAAAACAACAGCCCCCTTTTTTCTTGTGTTAAGCTGCAGGCGGTTGGCTTAAAAAGCCGATGTTGACCCTGCAGATCTGAAACTGTTAGAGAACCAGGCTTCTTAACGAAGCTTTATCACTTTAACATTTTTCATTCCATAGGAAAAAAATAACAGATTTATAAGTTTTTAATGTAAAAATGAAATAACTGTTAAAGCTTTCGATTTAACAAAAACACAAAGACAAATCTTTACATACTTAGGAAATCGTTTAGAAAACAACTGATCAGGTCATTGCATAGATAAAACAGAACGATCCGTCCTATAGAGCAGTGTTTGTTCCTGGTTTTAATCTCTGGATTTATTTATTATATAAATGTGTGCAATACTAATAATAAAGAAGTGTAACCTTAGACCTGGGTACACTGTGAGAGCTTTAGGCTTTCTGATGTTGCTTGACCCTTAGCAGTATGCAAGTGATACTTTATCCTTAACTTTATTTTGACCTTTTTTGCTAAAGAGGCAACTGATATTAAATCAGAGAATGTTGAGATTTGAGCACAAAGATGATATAACTTCATACCACTGATAAACCCTTCAAATATATAAAGAAATGCAAAATTCAGTGTTAGAAAAGCTGATTTAAATAGATAGATTTATATCTGCAGACTAGTTTTTTCTATTTGATTGATTTATTAGCCTACCCCGTGTAGGCTATAGTATTATATAAATTATGTTTTTTTAAAGCACAAAATAGTTGTATGTAAAACTGTTAGCCTGACAAATATGGGAATATTAGTGTCTCCTTCCTTGTAGAATGCTTATATGTCTATATTTTGAGGGGATTAAACACAGAGCAGAATTTAGCCCAACTGATGCAGAACCTTGTTTCCTGTTTTCAAATCCTTCTGCTTTTAATTTACCGCCTGTGCCTCTCTGTGTCTTCCTCTCTGCAGATGAGCAGGTGTCAGCAGTCTGAGGAGCAGCAGTGGATGGTTTCCTAGGAAGCCCCCCGCCCACTTCCCCTCCACCTTCGACTGAATTAAAGAGGCAGACCTACAGACTGGTCAACAGTTACGTAGCCTGCCTCCTCCAGTCGGCTCCCCCTCTCAACCGGTGGACTCCTCGCTCCTCGTCTCCCTCCCCTGCCTTAAAGCATCATGGGGGGTTTGATGACCCTGCATGCAAAAAATACTGTGAAGAAGAGATGGAGAGAAAGTCAAAGACAATGACGAAATGCCTGGCACTTTGGACAGATTTCAAAGAAGAAAAAAAAAAAACACTACAGAAGCATAAACTGGGAGACAGCGCCCCCAAACCCTCCTGTTAACGCAGCAGAATCAGCTCCATCTGCACTTTCCCGTTTTCTTCTTTCAAAAAGGAAAACCTGAACAATTCAGAACAATAAGACTATTATTAAAGGTAAAAGCAGTTGACTTCATCATCGTTAATCTCCCTTTAGATTTCTTCCCGTTTATGTTTTTCTTTCTTGTCATTTTCTTTAGTTTTATTGAAATTATTGCACTCTAGAGGCTGAATAAACCGAAACCAGGTCAGCCCAACATTTCTGAGTCTGGACTGAAACAACCCGCCCGTTGTTGAGTGTTTGAACTTTGAATCCAGTATTATCTCATGTTCACTCGTGAATGCTTATCACTTTTCTGTTTGAATTTACAAGAAGCTTGGAGGGAAAACGTTTGAATCATCATGCAGTATAATGACAAACACAACAAAACAAGTTTTATCTATCAGTACAAACGTTGATCAAGTTTCATTCTAGCACTTTGAGCACAATCCTTGATGTTTGGCTTGAATACCAGGGTATGAGAATATAGTTTATGTCTGAGCTCCTCTATGCTCCAACATGTTTGGACCTTTGGGAGAACGTGAAAAGCACACTCGATGAAACCATGTACGATTCCGTCAATCGTCTCCCAAAATGAAAGCAAAGCCTGTCTTTGTCTCATCGTTCAAAGTGACGACCGCAAACACATTCAGCTTTCTTTTGCTTGTTTTTTTTTTTTAATTAATGAAAGGTCACAGAAGATCAAGGGTATTGGTGCACATTTCAGAAGGCATCATTGCTTAAATTTCTACTCCATTTGAGCGTATTTATTTCCTTCATAGTAAAAGCATCCAGTAATTTGTATTTGAGCTGAACATCTTCCTGTGAATGTCCGAGCGCCTTACGATGCCATGGTTGCAAACATGTCTTTACACGGTCATTCACAATGCAAATCAAACTGTTCTGAGATGAAATGCCTTATTTATGATGCTTTCCCAGGCTCCTTTTTTAGAAGGATACAACCAGACTGAAAAAGTCAAGGTTTGTTTTTTTTTCTGTATTTTTTTTCTTTATTTTTTAATTTCTAGTTGGTTTGTTGCTTCAGAAATCAGCATTTGGCTGCAGCCGACGGTGTGTTAAGGTGTAGTAGATGATGTCCACACGGACACCCTGTTTCCATCTTTGCTGTTGTGCTACTAGATTGATTCTCAGAAACACTTCTTGTCTGTTACAAACATCATCTGGGTATATCAACATTTTTCTCTGTATCTGTGGAAATGACTGAACATATGGATTTTTTATTTTTTTGGTTTGTTTGCTTTATCTTTGACTCCGGTGAGGAAGGTGAAAAATGAAGTAGAATTATAATTTTGTCTTTCTAAGCTGCCAATCATCTAACTTCAAAAGATCTTATTGTGAAAAGAAAAAGAACGTTGTGTTTCCTTCTATCACAGCATCACACTGATCACATTGATCAGCCCTGGAAGCTTACAGACTGAGTAAAAAAGATGAATGACAGCTGTGTTTTTCACTGTGTTCTGTGACTACACACTAAACCGTTTTTCTTTTGTCGTTTCTTTTTGTAATGGCTGCAGATAGATTGTTAATAATTGTGATACCGTTGTGACATGCATCATTTACTTTCATTCAACTCTGAAGATAATGTGCATATTAGCAGGTCGAGTCGTAAAATTGAAAAACAAAAAGTTGCACAAAAATGTACAAGCGTAAAGATGTGTAGTAGGTAGAACTGCTACTGCGTTCGGTGTGTGATGTCAGTGAGATGTGTACATTTAGCTGGTGACGACCTTCGTTTCTTCATTCTTTCTTGTACTACTTTAACCTGTATGTCTTTTAAAAAGACAATTGGTGGAGTATGTATCGGTTGTTTTTTGTATTTTTAATACAATAATTGTAAATATTGGTTATATTTTTGTTCAAATGTAAAATGTTTATGCCTCAACATCCAGTTTATATGAAGCTGGGAATCAATAAATACTGCATAAAGACCCAGGTTTAAAAGTACCTGTTCTTTTCTTTTTACACTTTGAAAAAAAAAAAGGTTTTTCCTCTGATGAAATTTGATGCTCCTAACTTTCTATCTGACCAAACTGTGTCAGATTTAATAGAACGGGTTCTTCTGCTTTCATTTACTTAGGCATTGTTTCGTCTTCTTGGATTTTATGAGCCGCAAATCACATTTTTTTAGTTTAGATTTTTTAATTGCCACCCTCTATTTTCTTTATTAAATAAAACTGAGTAGCGTGGAACCATTGCAGCACTACACTCATTACTTCCGGGCAGCTTTTTAGACATCCATGTCATTTATTATTTCTCCTGATACTAGAATCCTTGTTTAGCCCTTTATTTTAACCATTGCCTTAGATGTATTTTTCTTTTAAAGGAGCAATAAAAAAA